CCTAAGAAAGCTCCTTCAGATAATTTAGGGCCACAAATTCATAGAAATAATTAAATTGCTGCTAAGGCTGTATCGTCTTATGGTCAAGCTGCAATAAGTCACGTAGAGCAGAATGATCCCAACAACTTCGAAATTTACCTTAAGGTCTATGTCAACTTTACCATCAGTGGCTGTCAATCTGACATTCGTCAGCCTACCCATTATCACCAGGTAGTGTCACATGAGGCTGAAATCACACTGAGGAAAGTATTTCCAGCCGTAAGTCAGAACTGTCTTATTGCTTACTTTTAACTGCTTTATTTATTTATATGTTAGCAATCGTTTCCACATGTTTCTTCTGCTGATGCAATTTTATGGTGAAGATAAGACACAAAGAAGTAATATTTAAATTGACAATGTTTTTTAGATGCCTCATGCCAAGTTAATTGAAGATGGGGATCCGAATCATATGGATCAAACTTATTACCCAACGAAAATTCAAAGTAAGACAAATTTAAACAGCTTTAGCCCATTTAATTAAGAAAATGAGATGACATAATAATTAAAATATGGATATTCGTAAGGGCAGACAGCAGATTGGGTAACCTTAAAAAAGCGCTAGATAATATCAGTCTGGATTTTTGACACATTATTCGTTTGTAAGGCGTAGCTGTAATCACAGTGTCTCTATTTTAAAGGGGTATGCAAAAAGCATAAAGGCTGAAACATTCATGATTCTCAAAAGGCGAAATGTAGCAACCACTTATTATCTTAGAATGTTGAGCAGCTCCCGAAGCATCACTTAACAAAGACGAGAATCCCTTTAATGGCAGGAAATGTATTGTAAAGCAGCAATTATGGTGGTTTTCTTCCAATGTTGAGCAAAGATACCTTCTGGCAGGAAAATTAAGTTCTTTAGAGAAGAGAAATTAGATCGTTATCGTTAAGTTATAGGTGGAAGATATTGAGACATGAAGTTCCTAGGATATAAAAAAATAAAGCAGGATAGTTTATTCTTTCTTGACACTGTTGGTATGGTTGAGGTCAGTGTGCACTCTTGAATAATACTATTTTAGACAAGCGCTCGGACGGCAAACAAAAAGGTCTGTTGATGTGCAACAAGGTAATTTTGCAGAAACTAGTGCAATAGTATCTTGCCAAACCTACTTCGTGAATAAGGTGACCTTTGACAAACTTCAAATACCTTACCGTGGTTGAGAACAGAAGTCATTTTGACTTCGTTAATGTCAATTTCGCACCGAAACCTAAAATTCCTGTTGATACAATTACCCAATCATTTTTGTCTACTGCTTGACCTGATCAACTGAAATCAATCTCGTTTTCATTTGCTCTCAGATCTGGTATATTCTCCGAAATACGGTCATCATCAGATTAAAGTTCCAGTGCCAATGATAAAGTCCCGCACTTTGGTTGAATTTATCCCGAAGTCTGAAGGTAAGGAAAACTGATTCATTTGACTTTCAAAATGATTGGAAATTTCTTTTCCATAAGTCAGCTGGTGTATCTTTTAAATAGGTGACAATTCGTTGAAATCTTCACAAGGACACTTAGTCTAATAAGTATAGATTCACAAAGAGAGTAAATGTAAAATAATAATTGCACTTTACTATTTGAAGTCTTAACATCACAAGACATACTAGTTTTAGTTCCACAGAACATACCTCTCTCATCAGAGGCTTATGTCTTCTAAACGCTTTGCTAATAAACAAATCGAACCTATCATATTTTTAAAAAGCCAAATATAAGTCAGATGAACACTAAATAATCGGACAACAGCGGAAATTTCACTGAGAGTGATGGTTTTTATTAGGATGTGCACCGGTGTCATCTTCATTTGAGTAATATGAAGATGTTGAAATTGCAACTAAGAAGAGTGAAAAATTGTATGATGTGCTAAAAAAAGCTAAGTTCTCTTTATGTGCTAATCGTAAGATATTTTGTGGATCTCAGTATCATTAGCCTTACCTACTTCATGTCGTCTGTAAATATAGCGCGAACAGAAACCTAGCTTTGTCATTGTTATGAAAATTCATCTGACTGAGACATTGGTAAATAAATGAAGTTGTGAAAGATGCAGCGTAATATGGTTATGTGGTACATTGGCTATTGATCTGAGGAATTCACCACTCGTCAAGCGTCCAGGGAATTTATTCTCTCTATGCATCTTAACTTGAGTCGTACGTAAATGAGTAGGTCTATCATTTTAATTTTACTGCATCCGTTTTAAATCTGCCACTGTCATCATAACCTACAGTATATCAAATTCAAAGTAGGGGTTAATTTGACCTAATCTCTGCGACGAAAATACATGTACTTCCTTTTTACTTTTCAGGCTGCGCCGAAAAAGGAATTTGCGATGCATGTACCAAGGCTTCCACATCGACAAGGAAATGCTACTGGTGTTCAAGAATCAACAAGTGTGGTGATGACGATGACATTCACAATATAAAGTGGATAAGATCTGGTTGTTATACCTTAGTGAGTTTCTTCAGTAAAATTGCATTCGAAACCATTAATTCATGTGGATTTTTCGGACAGAGTAGTCATTCGGCTTATCATGACGAGCACAGGTAGACTTTCTACGTGTCCTGAGAAACAGCAGAGTAGGTATGATTCCATTCAAAACAAGATGATCAAGTGTGATTTTTAAGATAGCTGATTAGGCAAAAACCTATTCAGATCAATTAACTATAGAAGACATATGATCGCATCGATTCTGTGTATTGATAAACGCTTTGTGTACTCTGACAAGTGACACATAAAACTGATATTTGAGCTGCGTTCTGGCAACCTATGCGGTGAAGTATGACTTATTTAAAATCTGTAAAGTCAAAAGATGTGTAGCGTCAAAATATGGTTCGAGCAGAGTTTAGTAACTGTACCACTTCAAGAAAAAACGTAGTCCACTAGACCAGTTTAAGCTGCCTTACTTGAAGACTAATAACACTTGAGACCCATGAAGTGATAGTGATGCATATCGTTTTTAAAGAAATTGTTCTAGCTGTTTCGTCTGGAACTCCAAAGTTACCGGTTTAGGATTAATAATAGTCCCAGAAACGAAACTGAGGTTTGAACTACAATATTGTTGATAAGAGAAATGAGTTAAATTTCCTCAAGGTCTTAAAGTATAAAATCGTTTTGAATAAATTACGCCGGTACAGATTCATTGTTGATAAGGACTTTGATGGACGTAAACCTTTGTGTCTCACCATTTTATGCGATATATGAAAGCCATAAGACTTCCTAGTTCTGACTACTTTCTATATGCTTCATTACACACGGAGAAGAATGTCGACCGTGGTGAGATGCGATTGTAAAGTTTTTCCTGATAGCCTATGAAAATAAACAGAAAATGAATAGAAATAAATAGAGTTCACACTGTAATCTACTCGATGTCATAAATGGTGTGATAATAGCAAACTTCAAAAGTGTTGGAAATACCATTCGAAATCAGAGACGTAGTCTATTACCAACCAGCTACACCATATGTTGACCATGTACGACTCTCTGAGCTGAAGCCATTCACTTACACCTTTGATGACAACTGACCCCAAAACGAGCGAAACAGCTCTTGAGTGCCACAGTCACCATGATCTGTGCATGGAGTAATGCTAATTTATGCGAAGGGGTTCACAGTTATTCATCTCAACCAGTATTGTATTTCGCACAACTGTTGGTTCATCGAGGAAATTCGATGTTGGTCTTATTGCCCTTTATTTTTAAGCTCTCTGATTGAATATCACCTCTACAATTTTTGGTGAAAGTTTTTCAAAATATGTCCACTCGTTTAGAACAGTTGAAAGCTTTTAGTCACAACAAGTCAATTTCCCTTGTCTGTATGTTGTAGTCTGCTATACGTTTTTTCGTAGGGACTGAGCATGGGGTGAATCTTAATACTACACAGCTGTTACGTTGAATGCCTAGTATCAATCAACATCGGTTGTGTTTCAGCATTGCAGTCAGCGGTCTGGCTTTATTTTTAATTGTACCTTCTATGAATATAACGTCTACCGTATCACATCAGCATACAGTTCAAGGTCATCTGGAATCTGTTCCATTTGATAAGTTAGTTGAAAGATGACGTGTTCTTCCCGCATCTCTATTTCAGACTTTATTATAACAGAATTTCGCTTGCCGTTGCACAATAACGAGTATTCTTTAGAAGGTTACAGCTTTATTACCTGTTTCTGTGAGTGCTACCGCAGATTTGATGGAGACTACCCGTTCTCTATTTAAAATAATGAGTTATTCAAACTTGCTTGGTAAACAGTAATTCCTACACTCCAGCCGCATTACATAACAGTGAACACTTTGCTTTGTGGTGTTGGTTTTATTTCTGTTTTGAGCAAATTTATCGTTTGACAATTTTTCAGTGTGCGACTATTCATTGTCTAGATTGTGTGAAAATTAGCATTTGTTCGCATATCTGTTTCACATGTTTCAGCAAGGCTTTATGCTTATAATTTGTTTAAGATAGAAGCTGAATATTAAACTGAAACGTTCATGTCTTCTTTTAGAATGTCTCAAAATGTCAAGACTTGAAGTTCACCGCTTCAAACCAGACCTTGAAGGTGATTAATTCTCTGTTGCTGACAAATCACTCACCCACTTCTCGAGTTGCCTCAGTCACGAGGGTGTTTCACAGCAGAAAAGAAACGAATATTTCGAAACATCCGGAAGATAGATTCAATACTAGTCAACTTCAAGAACCCCATACATCTTACATATTTGTAAATTATTATCCTGGTAATGTTCATCAAGGTTGGTACATATTCATTACAGCCGCAATAATGGCTATGGTTCCGACCATCTCATTTGCAGCGTTACTTTTATTATTAATAGCAAAGTATAAAATAACTATCGGACGAAGTCAAATCTAAGTGCTTTCTGAAGTTTCCGAAGCCAAAAAATAATGCAACGTCTGACGCTGGACCCATGCAGTTTGATTTCTAACAAGAGACTAATTCATCTTGATAGAAACTGATTTGTATATATGCGAGATTAAAAAAGTAAAGTTGGCATTTTTCTGATTTTGAATGAACTGGTTCTCATTGAGTGAATCAGCAACCCACTTCGTCGCCACAATCCTGTTTGCTCTCCTCATTAAACGTAATACGTTATATAACTCCAGCATTAAGCCCCGGAATCATCTCAGTATAATCCCGTCTTACAAATTTGACAAAGTGAAAGGATGAAATGTATTTTCAAGGCTTGATAATATCATAACATATAAAACTCAATGTTTGGGAAATTCTTAATGACTGAAAAAATTGGTTCATCCTACATTGCAAGAAAGTGCTATTTTCACTACTTTTGATGGGGCCCAGAATAGGTGTGTGTAAATTCGGTGTTCTAATGCAAAGGAGAAGAAAAAATCCTGAATCACCAACTTTGTTAGTTTCGCAGAAGTATTAAACATGGGCATTGTTGTATTTCCATTTCCGGTTGTTTTATTCCATGTAAATGCAATCTAATATAGAAGTCACTAACCTCAGTAATAACATCAGTGGTAATAGCTACTTCATTGATAGAAGAAATCCGTAAAAATAAAGTTGTGGCTTTCCTGCGAGTGAAAGCATAAAATCAAGGTTATCTGAGCGGTTGACCCAGCAAGACGTTAGTTTGGTAAGCACTCGTCACTTTCAATGTAGTGTAAATGAGCTCAAATAGAATAACAAATGAAAAGTGAGTGTGATTAAGGTAGAATAAACTAGAAGAAATCTAGAGTCAGTGTTTGTGTTGCACGACAATAAAGTTTTCATAACTTAAGTCGTTAGTCTTTGGCACTTGGTCAGATGTTATTGAGTCTAAGAGTAAGATTTTATTGAGGTTGTCAGAGTTATTAGAATTTGCAAAGCTACTGAATTAGATATTTTCAGTATTCTACGAGAAATATTACTCAGTGAACTTAGTGAAGATCACCCTTTTCAACGAATCTGTTCTCAAACGGCATATTCATTCAGATATGTAGAATGTTCAATGAATGTCATCCGTGAGGAAACCCAAATCTAAATAATGCTACAATGAGACAAAAATAATGATGGTTATCCCTCTAATGATGTTACCAGTTGATAACATACAGTTTAGATGATATTACTCACCTATATTATGGTGGTTTTCGTTCTGTTCCACTATTCAGTTGGATCATTACACAGGTCACTTGCTGTGCCAAACTTGAATGCTGACCTGAAAACCTAATGTAAAATTCATACTATTGAAAAGGATCGTCCTAGCAAGATCGAAACGTTGAGGAATGATGCAAAATGTCGGTTTTTATTTTATTTGTTCTAATATACTCCGCCCGAATAACATGAGTAAAAATATACTTTATACGATGAAAAAGAGGTTGCGTAAGTTTCCCAACTAGTTCATAAGTTGTATACAGACTACAGTGGGGTTAAAACATGGTACAGTAAATAAACAACTAAAGGAATAGGTAATATGGACAACAGAACCTAACTGAGATAAACTGATAGTCTTTTGCCAAAAGTTGCAATTATTAGAAAGATCATTGGAAGTAGCTTCAAAAGCTAAAAATCTACACATATTACTGATAATGACGATATGAAGAGTACAAAGATTGATTTTACAAATATTTCTTCAACCACTGTTACTACAATGAAAGTGTTATCAACGAAGGCCATCACTCGAATGTTCTTTGTTAAATAAACGCAGCCTAGCAACCAGGCTACTCGGCATTCTTTTCCTCACACCGGTGCACACTTTGACTGCTTATGTGAAGTCGATTATAGACAGACACAAAGTTAAAGTTCAGCACTTTTTGAAGCAAAGAGCTTCTGCTTTTATTATTGATGAAATTTAGATGATAGATGACGCTACTCAAGTTTTGCGGACAATTTTTTCCAGTGTCTGAAGATCGAACTCATACGGAGGAATTTCATTCCTGTGTTATAATTCTAGCATACAATATTTCGTGGCGGTGCATCGATGAATGACGCTAGTGATCGAGCTTCACCTAAGAGAAAATACTGATAAGTATCAATCAAACTGAAAACATAACGACATTCAGTGCATCCTAATGGACTATGACATGCATCTGCAAGTATAATTGAAGAGATAGTAAGAGTGCTTGAAAGTATTGTAGGGTTGATTTGCAAAGTAAAACTTCAAATATTTCTTGAAACTTCAATAATTTATTTTTATAAATCAACATGATTTTTTCTTTAAAAACCATCTAGCTCATACTCAGGGTATATCATTGTAGCAGGCGAAAACTTGCTTGATCTTGAAAAGTGCAAAGGCATCACTGACCTTCTCGTATTAGTGTATGTTAAAGTACTCAATGCAAACAAGCAGATCATGTTGTTAATAGGTGTACATAAGGATGGTAACAAGATGGGACTGAATCTTATCATCACTAAATATTGTTCCATGGTTTCCAGATGGAAATGCTATTGGGTGTGCATATATGAATTTGCGTGAAAAAGTATTAGAAAAGTATTATAAATGATTCTGATGTTAGTATCAAGACGAAATGTATTAAACTGGTGACCTTATGCAATTAATTTAACTGATATTTTTCGGAATCAACTCATCGTTAACGTATCTTCTTGTCGTCAACATTACCCTGATATTTCTAACTATTCAATCTACAGGAACAGAAGTAGTATGGCAAAGACCATTAATTCTCTCTAGCAGAAGTGCTGTATGGATACACTCTAACTTCAAAAGTATCGGTAGAAGGTGAAGGCACTGCATGCCGCGGTACAGTGTTCCAACGTTTCGCAACTGTGAGCAAGAAAAGTAATTCTAGACGAAAATGATTCAGTTGCTGTTTGTGGACTTTATAGTGATGTCTTCTGAAATGAACAGTTGTAGGGAGAAGAAGTAAACGAGATAAGTTGGAACGTAATTCATTATTCAAGATAGTATAAGTTAAACTGAGACCAGCCTTCATTTTTCGATAACACAGTGGAGAAAGACCGAACCAATCCACTCTTTCTTCAAGAGAGATTTGGGAGAACTCTTTGTTCATCTTGGTTCCTTTTTTCTGAAACCACCATAATAGGCCAACTTTGAATTTAAAAGATAAGTTCACTGCCCAATTTTTATACCACAATTAGGGGTTCACATACATTGGTTAAGAGATTCCAGACACATGCCCATCAAAGATATCAAGTGCTTTTTGCAAGGACCAAAAGATTCGAAAGTCTTTGGTAGTTGCTACTTTAAAGTTGGCTGAGGATCCAAGGTCATGACTAATTATTCCAAATAATGTGTTGCATTCAGCTACCTTGGGAAGTGAAATGGTGGAGAACATTTGTACCTCAAGTGGATGGTCTTGGTTGTATTGCGTTCTCTGATCTGAACTGTTTAACCATAGAGCTTACGTCGTCTTTATAGACGAAATCTTCAGCACTAACTTCAGTATGAAGTGAGCTGTCAATATCTCTCCAACAGCGATTTAGTGGCTTGCTCTGATGAAGTGATCTGCGATTGGTTGTATTCTTTGATTTTTGTGTCATTGACTTGTCACTGAATTTCCAGCTTTCGTCATTTGTCCTATCGACTAAAACATCCAGGAATGGTAGTTGGCTGTTTGACTCTTTCTCCATTGTGAATTTGATGTTATTGAAAACGTTGTTGATCAAATTGTCGGTTCTTCCTATATCGTCTTTTTGAATGATGACAAAAGTGTCGTCCACACAGCGAATCCAAATTTTTGGTTTGATCACCGGTAGAATAATGGCTTCCAGTCTGCGCATCACTGCTTCTGCAATTAATCTGGATACCGGTGATCCCATTGGAGTTCCTTTCATCTGTTTGTATATCCTTCCGCTGGATTGGAAGTATGTTGTCATACAAAGGTCTATGAGCTCCATCAAACTTGAACATTTGAGTTTTGTGCGTTCTGAGAGGTTTTTGTCTTCATTGATCAGGAGGGATATCGTTTCCTTGGCCAATTAAGGTTCAACGTATGTGTATAGTGATGACATCGAAGGATATCATTATCTCGTCGTTTTTTCCTATGTTAGTGCTTTTGATCTTTTCTAAGAATTCCGTAGGTGACCTGATGGAATGCCTGTATGATTGGACGAGGTGTTTCAGTTTCCTCGAAAGTTCTCTTGATATGTTGTATGTTGGAGTTCCCGGAAGTGAGACTATTGGTCGTAGAGGGATATCGGGTTTGTGTAGTTTCGGTCTACCGTAGAATCGAGGAAGGATAGGTCCATTCGATTTCATACGCCATTTGTCTTGCTTTGTGAAGTCAATCAATACTGGATCACTTTGAACGTTCTTCAAATTGTTGACGATTCGTCGCCACTAGGAATTATTACATTTGATAGATATGGGTGGTAGGTCTTAAGCCAATAATGTCCCACAGCTAAAGGCCTATTCGATTCGACATGGAATAAAATAGCATAAGTATCAGAAATAAATGGCGCTGTGTATCTATATGAAACTCTATATAAGCAGCCATTTACAAACATCCAGACCATAGATGATACGAATTTCCTTGAAGACTTTGAGTGGCGCGTCTGATGGAATTCTTATAAGAATGACTTTCGACATAAACCTAAAGACTTAAGCAAATGAAAAGAAGATATTGCTGAATGTTTCGCTGTGTCAGCTACAGCTTATTTCAGCAGAATATACGGATTCTTATTAACTTCAAGATATATAATCAAATGATAAATCAAATATTTAATGATTGTAGGTCATCGATTAGGTGATTTTTCCGTCCAGCCTGAGTAATCAAGATTAGTTATTGCAATTTCATGCTTCTTATTGTCATTTGTCAACAAATATGTATACGTTCTGCTTTCGTTAAGTTAGAAGCAACAGGTTTCTGATTTGCTATGATAGTTCCGATTTTACGTCATATTGTGTACGCTTCTCATGATATTAAAGTCTGTTCTAAACCTTCAAATTTATTAGAAAAGATCTTAATCAAAGTGAGAGATTCAATTTCTAAGATTACGCCGAATAACTGTGTCTACAAAATTCAGTGTTTGGAACGTGGAGATAATTATGTTGG